TAGATGAAAATTTGTGTCTGGGAGTTTTTTGACATGAGAAATTTGATTTTGATATCAATATGACTCCTATATGTAGGGGGCGCCCAAGGATACTATAGAGATAAGGATAGTTCGATTCCTATCTTCCTGTACTGTGAGTTTTTTTACGTTATCTAGGGACCGAGTTGAAGTTCGCGCTAAAGATTTTAGACAGTGAGGGTGCAGCCACACTATCCTAAAAACGGCGTATCGGCGTAACGGTGTAACGACCTTGAATCGATTTCCAGTAATTCTATTGGCTGAAATTTTTGACAGATGAATTTGACAGATAAAATTTCTGACAGATGAATGTTTCAGCCAATAGAATTACTGGAAATCTAGTCAAGGTCATTACGCCGTTACGCCGATACGCCGTTTTTAGGATAGTGTGGCTGCACCCTGACAGTTATTTTTGCATTTGAGGGTGCAGCCACACTATCCTAAAAACGGCGTATCGGCGTAACGGTGTAACGACCTTAAATCGATTTCCAGTAATTCTATTGGCTGAAATTTTTGACAGATGAATTTGACAGATAAAATTTCTGACAGATGAATGTTTCAGCTAATAGAATTACTGGAAATCTATTCAAGGTCATTACGCCGTTACGCCGATACGCGGTTTTTAGGATAGTGTGGCTGCACCCTGACGGACGAGCGCACAGTGCGGTGGAAGATAAATCTAGCGGGACAAAACCGTTTGGTTAGAAATAAGCCAAAAATGTGTACTGAAAGAATAAATAATGGTAGACATTCCAATCGATATAAAAATGCATGAATTATTTTTTGGTCGTATATATTTTTTGTATTTCGATACATTTTTATCAACCAAATTTGCTCGTTTTCTGCTCAGCAAGGCAGAGGTCATACGAAAACAAAATATTTAAAAGTGTTTATACATTTTATTCCAAAGCCAAATTATGTTGAAGATTTCCAAAGATATGTAGTTTTCTACTGTAGGTATATTATTTGTTAAAATCCTTCGTGCCTTTGTTCTGCAGATATCAAACTTTAACTTTTTTCAAATATTGATATATTGAATGATGTAGATCTTTTGAGTTACCAACACAGGTAGTCACAGTCACAAGGAGTTCAAGCTTAACAGTTGAATGCCCAAAAGTTTCATTTCGATCGGATAGTATAAAAACGAAACAAAGACTCGTTAAAGGGTTAATTGAAGAGCATTCAAAAGAAGAATTGGGTTTCGCAAGTACTATGAGCTTTAGGGCTAGTGGGAGTAAGGATGCTGCTGTAATTGTTGAAACCTTAACTCCATCGAAAGGCACTGAGTTTAAAAAATTAATAACTGCCCATACACGGAAAGGCCCGGCCTTCGGACTTGGCCTTTGCCGAGGCCGTGGCTTTTTTTTAAGTTGTTAATAAATAAATAAATTTAACCATATGGTTGCTATATATTAGACCCTTTATTGCTACGAGGTTCTTAGATTTTAAGTCCCAAACATCGCTCTTGAGATTTTGTCCCGCTAAAATAACCATCCACCGCACTGTGGAGCGCTGGTCCCTGCGTGACCTAAGCATCCACGGCGACTACGACAGCGGCGATTTTACGCGATCGAACAGTCTTTTAGAATATATACAGTCCTTGGGGGGCGCCACCTACATGAGTTTTAACTGTTTTTAAGGGTAATAACTTTTCGTCCGTACCTGTACTACTGGCTGAAAAAATATACATTTCCGTGATTTTTTACGTAAAACATATCTCTTGGTAAAAATGGCTGAGAGCAACCGTTCTCGAGATATTTAGAATGAAAATACTCAATACATGTCATTATTGACAAAAAATAAACATGTTGAGTAGATAGTTATTTGACTGAAATATTAAATTTGGGAACTTTTTATTTTTTTAAATAATTATAAATTTTTCTTTGGAAAAATGATGATAAAAAGGTTTCTGTTGAACTTTTGACACAAAAACATTTCAAATTTATGATTTAAGTTTAATAACTATTTAGTCCAATATGTTTAATTTATGTCAATGACGAAAGGTATTGATAAATTCGATTCCAAATATCTCGAGAATCATTACTCGTAGCGATTTTTACCAAGAGTTCTTTTTTACGTAAAAAACGTCGTAAATGTATATTTTTTCACCCAGTAGTTTTATACAGGTACGGACGAAAAGTTATTACTCTTCAAACCAGTTAAGAAATATGTAGGTGGCGCCCTCAACAAGTAGGACTCATATTGACATCAAAATCAAATTTCTCATGGGAAAAAACTCCCAGACACCATTTTTCATTCAAATATTGAAGTTACTTTAGAAATTATTTGGAAAAAATTAAAATAAAAATGAAACTTCTACACCCTGTGTCTCCGAAACTAAAAATTTTAGAACCTACATTTATACAAACTTTTTTACTTGTTTTTATCTGCAGAATATGCTGCCGAAGTTTCCGGAATACAATTCGGACCACCCTGTATATTTTTTTTTCGTACAGCTATATTGTAGTTGTTAATTAATTCAAATTATCCCTGAATCTATTTTTTCTTGTACCATTTTATTTTAATTAAAATAGTATTGGTTTTATAATGTAATGTTTATAATAATGTATAGGTAGTTTTACACAAGTTTTAGATTTTCAGTTCCATCACACACAAATTTCATTATTATATTATACCAAGATATTATACAATGTATTTGACACTATCCTCCTTGTATATGGTTATTTGGTTATTTCGTATTTAATTACTAATTTAGTGTAATGTATTTTTGTATTCTTAAATAAAAAGAAATACATGATCATTTTTTTATCAAACATTATATACAGTTCTTTAGAAAAATACATTAGATTTTTTTAACTGTCAAAATTAAAACCCCTTGAATCAGCTTAAGCGCAGATCTCTCAAAATTCAGGCGTTCAGAAGACTCTAGAAGAGTTTGTAGTGAGCGGAAGAATAAAATACATATAAAAATACTGTTATCATTTAACATGTTTCAGAGGTCATGAACACTGAGGTTATTTACGCGAAAAGATATAATAAAAAATAGAAAATACCCCTCTATTTTCAAATAGACCATGCATATTTGACGGGTGGTGTATTTGAGAAGAAAAAAACATCCACAGCCCCAATTGTGACTTATTAATTACAAATTAAATTATTTTGAAATCCTATAGCAGCTTCTACAAAAATAAACAATAACCAGAGAAAATAACACGAACTTTGAACCTTAAATAAGGTATTTATGGTGTGATTCATATCTAATACTTTTATGGAATGTTTGTTATATGTGATAAATCAGTCAGAAGTTCTTTCGTTGTACAACAAATCCGTAATTGGTAATAAGAAATCACTTCGTTAGAACGTAGATTATTATTATATTTTTAATGGCAATTACCAGTAGCGTAACAGATAAGTAAATTATTTACCGCCTTTCTAACTCAAACCCGTTTCTAAAACAAAAAATAAAATAATGTTCTTCTCTTGTATTACTTAAAAGCCCCTAGTAAAATTGGTGGTGCGAAAATCCTGACTTTATATTGCAATTACATCGCTGTCAACGCGCTGTTATTTTAATACTTCATACCAGACATGTTTGAGATGCAACAACTGTTATTTTTCAATTAACAGTTCTAACGCTTTCTAAATTTTAAGATAAAACCTTTGATAAAACCGAGACACAACGCACATTTCAGGCACTGTTATTTTCATAGCTGTTATTTATTGGAAATAACAATTTATAAACTGTTATTTTTAAATGATAATGTCGCCCCCCTGCTAATAATGTCGCCCCCTGTTTTTTTGAAGCATTTAAATTTAAATAAACATCTTAAAGATTGTGAGTTATTTGTCCCCTTACCCGTCTTTAGAGGTTTTACTTTGATAATATGTACTCACACTGGGTTAGAGAACGTTTAGTGATAGTTCTAACACTCTCTAAACATTCTTAAAATAGTGACTATATGCATATAAGTCAGTCGCTACGATCACGATTTCACCACATCATCGCTAACCTAAGCTGTCAAATAACTATTTTTATAACAGTTATTATATAGTTGATAGTTATTAGTTCTAACGCTTTCCAAATTCTAGTTTAATAGCAACAATTCGCTGACGCCGCACTGTTATTTTTATACTAACGTTATTTTTTAGGAAGGAACAGCTGTTGTGAACTTTTATTTCTAAGTAACAGTTTTAACGCTTTCTCAATTTTAATATATAGAAGGGTCTAGATATAAACCTGTTGCGACTTAACACATAACTCAGAAATACATACTCATATTTTTAGATAGAAATAACAACTGTTGCGATGACCTTGATTATACATCGCGAGCCATCGCTGTCAACTCACCGTTGCTTTTCATAACTGTTATTTCTTTATTCGTTTGTGAACTGTTATTTCTAAATGACAGTTCTAACGCTGTCGTATTATGATAGAATAGCGACGATAAGGCGGCGATCTTGACTTCACAACACGAGCCATCTCTGTCAACACTGTTATTTTTATACTTGTTATTTTTTAGTTATTTTTAAATAACAGTTCTAAAGCTTTCTGAATTTAAATATAATAGACACAGTTCCAACGATCTCGACTTTACATAATAATATATACGCCAACGCCAGCCAATGCTGCCAAATCACTGATATTTTTATACCTGTTATTTTTTAGAAATTATAACTGTATAGAGCTGTTATTTGTAAATAACAGTTCTAAAACTGCAGTTTGTTAAATATCAACTAGTCATAGATGTAAAATTTATTTTAAATTCCTGTTAAAATTTAAAAAAAATATGTTAATTCCACGCTAAGCTTCCACGCTTATTGTGATGTTCTTTTCATTATTTCGGGTCACGCTGTATTTCATATTAATAAATCTGTAGTTTTCTTTGCCCGCTACTGGCTCATTTCTTCGTATTCCCACTAGAGTTCAATCTTATCACCGATTCTTTGAACAATCTGACCCGTACAATCGCTTGGGTCACTTAATTGATCATATCCTCGCTTTTTATCATATATTAAGCGCTGTAAATTAATAAATTTGAATCATTTAAATCTATGTGTGTATATTTTCAAGGCGCGCTTTACAAGAACAGGCTATAGTGGTTAACGCTGAGTCATCGCATTATTGCTTCTTGTCAAAATCGCATTATATAGTTATTTATTTTTATGTTCGATACGTCACACTAAACACCGCTAACTAGATTGTTGTTTAATTTAATTATTTAGTCGCATAGAAGAACTTGTAGAGTACGGATTGAAATTGAGTGAAGGACTATTTATAAAAATTGAAAAATGTGTCGATGGATTTTAGTGAGTTTTGTGTTAATTTTGGCCGTGCAGAATGCCAAAATGCACTCGTATCATTTGGGTACTTGTCCTACGATTGAACCACAATCGAATTTTAATATGAAAGGGGTAAGTAAAAAATACGTTTTTAAAAAAGACACGAAGGCTTTTTTATATTATTTAATCAGCATATTTAAAAAACTCTGCATGCGGTAATTTTTTTTAAAAAAATAAATTTTACTTTATTTAAGTAAATAAAAGATAATTAACGATTTCCGTGTGATAATTTGGTTATTTAAATGTAAATATAGCCAGAGACAGAACAGAATATTTTATATCTTTTTTAGGCTTTTAATTAAAAAAACAGCAGTCCAGAGATTAAATTATTTAATACTTATTAAAGAATGCATAAAAAATTTGATTTTTTTCACATTCTTTATATCATAATTAACTACTTTACAGCTAAGTTTAAATATTAATGATAATGTAAATAGAAAAATAAAAAATAGATTTAAATTTTATTATTTATAAGGTAATAGATTATACAGGTCAAATAATCGTTAATAATCGTTCAAATAATTAAAATTATACAGGGTGTCAAAAAATAGTGTATCAAACTTCGGTGGGTGATTCAACAGATAAAAATAAAATAAAAAGTTCCTATGAACATGTGCTAAAATGCTTCTCGAAGAAGTTACGGCCCTTGAAAGATTAAATAAAAATAATATATTTTATCTATTTTTAAGAACACTTTACAGCGTTTTTCTTGAAATTTGGTACTCTTACACATTTTAATGACAAAGTGAATGACGATAGTGTAAAATTCCGTAACAGCCCTGAAAGGGTACTTTCCACTGGTGTAGAGAGTACCACTGGTGGTACTTCTTTTATCCTTATAGATACAGTATAGCTGGGACTTTTTTTTGTATTATATTTATATACGTTTAGGTCGAAACGGTGAACGATTTTCAAGATATTTGCGCATGAATGTTCCGATACATTGATTATACAGGATGTCCCAGAAATAAATACAGCTATTTTAATGGGTGCAGGGTGGTAGATCTGGTCAAAAGAAACATCTTTTCCCTTTACCATTTTTAAAATAAATTAAAAATAACCGAGTTATATTACTTCGAAATTTTTAAAAAATAGTGGCAGCATTTTGAGAACCGCTGACGATAACCGACTATTAAAGATTTTTCACCAAGTTTTTCACCTTATTCGAAAGCTCAGGTGAATAAACAAGTGGCACTAAAAAGTTTTTTTTTAATTTTTCGGATGATATCAAGAAAAATATAAAACTTTCTAGAATTTTTGTTACCAAAAAAAAAACATAGGCGTGTTTCTGGGGCAGAAATATAATACCAGATAAAATGTTTGCACTTATTTCTGGAACACCCTGTATATTAGCGAAATAAGGAGATTAATTTATTTAACATTTTATCATTTCACGAGATCATATCAAACTAGAAAAACCTTAAAAGTATTTAAACCGTATTTCAAAAGGGAAAGTTGATGATGGTATTTCAAAACCAAAACGTCGCCGTCGCATCGGTTTGAAAATTTGATTGTTTGAAAAAGAGAATGAAAATATCAAATTTATTTTGTTATATCTATTCATCAAATAGAACCATAAAAAAGTAAATATGCAATAGCATATATTTGTTTTTTTTTCAAAAATCTCTGGAACTATTCGGAATTTTTTAACTTATAAGGTAACATTTTGATCAGCGTCAAATTGCGCTGCTTTGCCTCACATTAACCGACCTTGAATCTCTTCTTAAATAGTTTCTGAGATTCCAATGAGGCTCGAATTGGGACACCCTGTACACTAAAAGGGGGCATTATTTTGATAAAATCGTTTGTTTGACCTTTCAACTCAAAATTCAAAATTTATTTACAAACAACTTCTTTGGCTCGATAAGTAAATACTGGGATTTCCGTAAGACTAATAACTTTTGGTTAGTCAGTATAGATAACTATATTTTCTTAAATTTGTGTGGTTCAAAGTTTTTTTTTTCTTTTTTCGAAAATTCCCATAGAGGTTAAATAAATAATGCTGCTTTATAAGTTTTCAAATTGAGCGTCATACGTTTTCTAAATTTGTTTATGATTATTGTTTTAAAATATGTATTGATTTTACATATTGCCAATTATTTAATTTGTTTTGCCAAATATAAACATAGCAGTAATAACAAATATCCATAAAAAATGCAAAAGATAACATGGAAAATTAGAAAAACAAACACTTAAATTTTCTTCCCCTGAGAAGTTGGCCTGTCAACCCTTGAGAAATTGCAGGCTCCAAGTTGATATTTATACAGGGTGAGTTTTCTACGATGTTCTCTATGGGTATCTCGGAAACTACTGAAGATAGAGAGTCGGTTAAATGGGGAAAGAATTGCAGTTTTGTCATAAATATGCGCCTTTCAGATTTTTGAAAAAGTTCATGGCTTACTAGATATTTCGAAAAAAACAAATTTCGGCTATTTTAAAAATTGTCCCTAATTCCATTATAAGCTATTTTAGACAAAAAGTTTTCAGATAAAAGTTGTAGATAATCACATCCTTAATGAGATTGTGTCCTTCGTTTTTTTTCTAAAGCCTGTCATTTTTGACCTATGACACAAACATATGCTTTTTTAAATGGAAACCATAGTTGGCCATGACTTCATAAAAAGCGCAATTTTTTAAGCTTTTCAGCGATGTAAGCTATAATATGTTTTCTTCGAAAAATGACTGAGTTATAGCCAATTTCGAACTGTTATGAACTGAATTCATCGAGTTATACAATTTATACAATTTGCTAAAAACGCCACACAAATATGGCTAAAAATAAAAGAAATATAACATTTAAAAAAAACTTGGCCAAAAATTGACCAAAGTTGTTTTTTTTGCATCCGGGTGTAATAATAAAATTAAATTAGCAATGTTTTTACGAAATAATTTTCTCATACATTTGTGCTACAGATGCTAGGAATATGGTACGTTATCGAGAAAACGAGTACCGCCAGCTCCTGTATCATCTACAATATCACGCAAGCAGACGAACCGTTTGAGTACACCATAGAAGAGATAAGTCAACACTTCCTCTTGGCACTTACACCTTTGAAACACGGCTACCATTACAGAGGTACTTTGAAGGTACACGATCCGGCAGTGCCAGCTAAAATGACCGTCAGCTTTCCGCTAAGTAAGTATTAAATAGAAATAAAGTATGTCCAACGAGTCAGGGAAGGATTTACAATTTACTGGGAATTAACATGACAGCCAACAACTGTCACTGATGTGTCACTGTTATGTATCATCTCGTTGAACAGACTATATTATTATACATTTTTTTTTGTTTCGTTTCTTTCACCTGTATACATATATTTTTTTCCTTTTATTCTTGGCTTTAGGTCGTTGGGGTTGCAAAGATGTTACTAGATGTTATTCATTATTTTATTTTATGACGACGTTTCGACAGTATATGTCTTTTTCAAGTCTCTTTAACGTAGATTCCTACAGAATTAAAAATTGTTAAAACTGGACAAAACACAATAACACACAATTGTTTTTGGACATCACACTTTAGTATAGAGCACCTATGTATTTTCTAGCAGACCGTTCTGTATAAAACATTCAAGAGAAAACTACGTTCAAGAGACTTGAAAAAGACATATACTGTCGAAACGTCGTCATAAAATAAAATAATGAACAAAATCTAGTAACATCTTTGCAACCCCAACGACCTAAAGCCAAGAATAAAAGGAAAAAAATATTATTATACATATATAATGGTATTATACGATCGAGAAAAAAACGGCGTCAAAGACGGCTGGGTAATGACAAACGATGATAATATTGGCGAGTTCAAGCCCTAGACGTCATTACTTGGCCTATAATCTTCTTTATGTTTTAATGGTCCTTAGTGTTGATTGTCTGTCCCTAGCCTTGTTTAACGTTTAATAATAAACTTTTGTGTAATATATACAGGATGTCCCAGAAATAAATGCAAGTATTTTAACTGGTAGTATAGTTCATCCCCAGAAACACATCTATGAGGTTTTGTTCGCGAAAAAAAAAATTGAAAATTCGAAATTTTTTGGAATTTTGTTTAGTTTTTAGTTAAAAAACATAATTTCTTGATAATATGGCAACATATTATTGGTATTAGAATAATTTTACAACATTGGTATTAGAATAACAACATTGGTATTAGAATAAATTTACAAGAAATAAAATCCAGAAAAGAACCAGTGGTTCTCAAAATTTCAGCAAAATATATTTTTTTTGGAAATTTTCAAAGTAAAATAACTCGATGTACAGGGTGGTCCGAACTGTATTCCGGAAACTTCGGCAGCATATTCTGCAGATAAAAATAAGTAAAACAGTTCCTAGAGATGTATGTCCTAAAATGCTTAGTAAAATAGTTTCGGATATACAGGGTGTAGAAGTTTCCTTTTTATTTCGATTTTTTCCAAATAATTTTTGAAGTAACGTCAATATTTGGATGAAAATTGGTTTCTGGGAGTTTTTTTACATGAGAAATTTAATTTTGTTGTCAATATAACTCCTACTTGTAGAGGGCGCCACCTACATATTTTTTAACTGTCTTGAAGAGTAATAACTTTTCGTCCATACCTGTATAAAACTACTCAGTAAAAAATATACATTTGGGACGGTTTTTACGTAAAAAAGGTCTCTTGGTAAAAATCGCCCCGAGTAACGGTTTTCGAGATATTTAGTTATTTAGAATCGAAATTATCAATACCTGTCATCATTCATCATTGACATAAATTAAACGTGTTGACTAAATAGTTATTAGACTTAAATGTTTTTTTACTAAAAATTACACAAAAATCTTTTTTATCATCATTTTTTCACAGAAAAATTTATGATTAATTTAAAAAAATAAAAATTTCTCAAATGTATAGTTTTTTACTCAGTAGTTTTATACAGGTTCGGACGAAAAGTTATTACTCTTCAAAACAGTTAAAACACATGTCCTAAACCTAAACCCCCTACAAATAGGAGTCATATTGACATCAAAATCAAATTTCTCATGTCAAAAAACCCCCAGACACTAATTTTCATCAAAATATTGATGTTACTTCATAAATTATTTGGAAAAAATCGGAATACAAATGAAAATTCTACGCCCTGTATCTCCAAAACTAAGCATTTTAGGACATACATTTATACGAACTTTTTTACTTGTTTTTATCTGCAGAATGTGCTGCCGAAGTTTCCGGAATACAGTTCGGACCACCCTGTATAATACAAAATAAAACGATAAAGAGAAAATATGTTTCTTTTATCGAGACCTGCCACCCCTTAAAAGACTTGCACTTATTTCTGGGACACCCTGTATATTATGTTTTCATTCAATCTATGTTTATTTTTTCAATTCTATATAATTAACTTATTTATGAAAGATTCTATGCAATCAAAGTTTATATCCAATAATGCAGTGTATAAGGTACAAAGTACTTCATGCGTAAGATAGCGGCCTTCTTCTTTAGGTGGTAGTGGTTAGGCTCGTTTTCCAAAATTTATAGAAACAAATTTAGTTAAATTTAAAACTAAAGTTTGAACTAAAAAGTAAATTAAAAAAAATATATATTATTATAAAGCAAGATTGAAGCAAAAATTAATTTAAATTGCAGTTTAAGCAAAAATATTAAAGCGTATACTGATGAACTGGAAAAATCAGGTCTGGAAAATCTAATTTTAAATATTCTCATTATGCGTACAGTCTGTCCAAGAAGAGAAGGAACGGTTTTGAGAGATCACATCCAAAAACTGAGAGAAAAACGATTTGCTTTTGAATTATCATTTTCTTTTCTGTAGGTGTTGCTGGGAAATCGTCGTTTACAGTGTTTATGACTGATTACGATAATTATGCTGGAATCTTTACCTGTCAAAAGTTGACATTTGCCAATCGTCAATCGGCTACTATATTGTCCAGAACCAGGACCCTCGATAAAATGTTCATCGACAAGGTAAGAAGTATAGTCTTTCCAGCAAAAGAATATTCCTTGAAAGAAATACCGGGATTTTCGCCACTGGAAGAATATTTACAAAGTAAAAAAGTTATTATTTTGTAAACACCACAAATCGGTTTGACAGTGGATTTTTGCTAGTAAAACAAACTTGCTTAACCGACAAAAATGTTTAACGTTGTGAGGAGGTATATCTCCTCCTGAAACTTATTGCCATATATGTGTGTACTAGACAAAATACGGGGTGAGTCTTAAATAAGTGCAAATATCTTCAGGACTGATAGATCTCGATAAAATATACATATTTTCTCTTCACGGTTTTTCAAATAAGTCCAAAACAACCGAGTTATTTTACATTGAAAATAAAAAAAAAATGTTTTTGCTTAAATTTTTAGAACCAATGAATCTTTTCTGGGTTTTCTTTCTTGTAAATTCAATCTACTGTAACTATGTTGCTATTTGCTATATTATGAAGATATGTTTTTTAACTCAAAATTTAAAATTTGCGAAAAAAAACTCATGGACGTGTGTCGGGGTAGAAATATAATACGAATAAAAAATATTTGCACTTATTTAAGACTCACTCTGTATACATAAAAAAATAATTAAACAAACGAGATCATACATTTAACTTTTTCAAACTATGACTTCGCCATAAAGATATTATTATTTAAAAGAATATTAAATTTAAAAAAAACATAGGACTTTTTTGAAAAAAAAAATTAAATTTGTTGTGATTGTTAATGATTTAACTATTATTAATTTTGGAACAACGTATTATGCAGTTTGAGAACCACTGAGCTAATCTATGTTTTTCTGTTTACAGATTAGGTCTAGATTGTCATCATCCCAAATCGATCCCTTTGAATTGTCGCTCATCAAGCAAATCGACTGCCCTAAAAATGCCTCGGAAGGTGTGAACATTAAAATCAACGACTACTCTGTATCAGCTAAAGGTGCTGCGGATGTTATTCGAAAAGCTGGAGAAAAGATTGGTAAATAAAAATAATCCTAGATTAGAACATATATCAGCGTATCTACTTTATCTTATTCAGTACTTTAGTACCATATCCGATTGTTTTTGAGTATTCGCGTTTCACCTGTTTTGCTTCTTATACATATACATGCCAACAGTCAGATCACAGGAGTCAGTACACATGCCAGGAATCTCAGTTGCTTTAACGAAGTTTCAGAGCGTAGGAATGGCATGAGGTTCACAAGCGTAAAGCCAATGTAGATGCAATGACTAAAAAGTATCATCACTGCCATCCATTCCTAGGCCTAGAACCTTTCTATAAAGATAGCGAAAAAGCAGCAAAAACAGTGAGTTTTGGCCATTTGTCTGAGTTTCAGCCCCCTAGTTCACATAGCGCCAGAGTTATACGACGCTCCTAGATCGTTACCATTTTTCTGACGCTAGCTCGTGTGTCGCGGCCTTGAATTTGTACTCCTATCGCACGTAAAGAAGTTTCACTTCAAAAAGATCGAGATTGATACCCTAAATGCCTGCATCATATCTATGAGAGCACAGATTAACTTAGGATGTGGCACTTATTTCATCTTGCTGATAAACGCCGCCGTGACCTCGGACCTTTAATAGGACTATGGCGTTGTCAGACTTCTTTTTTTTTCTCGAATGCATTGTTGCTTTTGTGAAAGAATTATTCCCAATTGAAATAATATTTAATCTGTGGCACAGCTTGTAGCAACACCATACAGAAACACCTTAGACAACTCATAAGAATCAAATGGTTCCACCAAGTCTCAAACGTATCGGTCCTTGAAAAAGCTAGCTGCGAGAGCATTGAAGTCATGATTACAAAATCTCGCTTAAGATGGGCTGGTCACGTATGCAGAATGCAAGAAAACCGCATATCAAAATCTCTGCTTTACGGTGAGCTTGTAGACGGTAAGAGGAAACCAGGTGGACAACTCAAAAGGTACAAGGACATTTTACACGAAAACTTAAAGGGGATTAACATGCAGAATGAGTGGGAAGAAGCAGCGCACAATAGAATGCAATGGAGAAGAATTGTAAACTCAGTTAACAGCGACAACCAAAAGTAAAAAGGCAACAAAGCAATGAGATTTTTGAATGTCCGGAGTGCGGAAGAGAGATAATATCACGTATCGGGCTTTTCAGTCACAGGAAAGCTCACGAAAGAAAACGCATTGCGTAACCGTCTTTTGATGCGTGTCAAATACTCGTCAGCGAGTAATGGCAGTAGAAGTAGTAGCAAAGGTCAGTGGCGCATCCAGAGAGTGAGTCTGGGAGGGGTAGTGGCAATATTTAAATCAGGTAATAGATTTCAATTAAATTTTCGCTTAAAGATATTGTGACTATGGAAAAAAAATAAACTTAGATTGCTCTGGATTTCTATTTTGATTGATATTATTAATTTATTTTGTGACAATTTTAATTAGTACCAGATTTTCTTATTTATAAATTTCTTCCTGGGAGGGGTAATTACCCCCATTACCCCTCCCGTATATGCGCCCCTGACAAAGGTAGTAGTAGCGATTAATCACATGCATGCGCTTTGTATTCGGTCCCTTTAAATAGGATATTTAAAGGGATCAAATATCAAATGCATCCTTGTCTTATTTAATTTCTCCGTCTTACTGATAAATCTGTGTTAATCTGTGACGAGAGTAAGCGCTGTAGGTAAAACGCGGAAACTCAAAATCAAGTTATTACTGAATGAATGATCAGTATCATACAAGCATGATACTGATAACCAGCCGGTACTAAATAAGCTGTGCTCAAAATGAAGCTCTCTCTTAAAGCTGTTTTTATCGTCAATAGTTGTGTTTATTAAGCGGTGAAAACTAACTGTCAAAGCTTTCGTGCTGGTCGTACTGAATAATTTAAAATTTCTCGAACGTTTTGCAAGTTGCTATATCATGTTTATGATTATGATTACTATTTCTTGTAGGTGATGGTGTCGAGTATATATCAGGAAAAGCCAAAGACGTCTATCATAAGGTGAGTGACAAGTCAGAAGAATCCAGCGAAAAAGTTAAATCGCAGTACTCTAAAACTATCGATCCTGATTCTGAATGGTTGCCATAACATAAAATATAAATGTTTATAAGTGTATTGTTCTTTTTGTTTCTAGATATCATGACAAATTATGTTAAATTGCAGACCACTGTGGTAGAGAAAGCAATAAAAGACTGTTTATAATATAAAATAAAATATAATTTTGTTTTATTTTTAGTACATATTTAATAGAAAATGTGGTAATATCGAATATACAGGGTGAGTCTTAAACAAGTGCAAATATTTTCAGGATCGGTGGCCCTCGACAAAAGAAACATATTTTCTCTTTACCGTTTTTCAAATAAGTCCAAAATATGTTTTACTTGGAAAATTAAAAAAAAATGATTTTTCTCTTAAATTTTGAGAACAACTGGATTTTTTCTGGGCTTTCTTTCTTGTAAATTTAATCAACTATCGATGTTGCCATATTACGAGCCATATTATGAAGATATTATGTTTTTGAACTAAAAATTAAAAAAAATCCAAAACTTTCTTCACAAAATTCCGAGCAAAATTCTAAATTTGTTTTTTTTTTCGAGAAAAAAATAATAGATGTGTTTGTGGGATCGAAATATACTACCCCTAAAAATATTTGCACTGATTTAAGTCTCATTTTGTATAATTAGTTAATTCTAAATTATTATGAAAGTCGAAAGTGTTACAATATTGAGGACTTAAAGAGGAAGTAAATAATGTTCTAAGTGTCAAAATCATTATTTCGTATAACAACATTATTTTGTTATACAGCGTGAGTCTTAAATAAGTGCAAATATTTTTAGTATTGGTAAATTTCGACCGCAGGAGAGAGACATCTATGAGACGTTTTTTTTGCAAAATAGATGCTGAAAATCGTGCATTTTCTTTTAAATTTTCTTTTGTATTTTAGAAAACCGTAAAAACCGTTTTTAAAAAACCGTATTTAGTTCACCGTTAATTTCCCACTGAGTAATTCCGTAATCGATGATATTACCATAGTTACACCACTAAAAACGGGATGCAAATACAGAAAAAAATCCGGTGGGTCTCAAAATTTAAGCGAAAAATATAAGTAAAACATCTCGTTTATTTTGGACTTATTTGAAAAATGGCAAAGAAAAAATATGTTTTTTTATCCAGATCTACCAGCCCTGAAAATATTTGCACTTATTTAAGACTTACCCTGTATAACCAATGTATATAAGAACGGGCGGTGTCTCAGTTGAGAATTATTTTTCAATACAATTTAATAGCCGCGGCACTTAGCGCTTTATACGTGTTGTTGTTTATGGAACGTATAGGACATTTTACAAATAAAATATGACAAACCGATTTTTTGGCATTTAGAACATTATTTATTAAGTCTTCATATGATCTTTCGACATCGGCATATCCATACACAACTAAAAATTCTTTCGGAAGAATAAAATATTAGAATGGCTTGAGAGCGCACGTATGCGAGTGTCAATATTTTTCGTCGCATGACGTGAACGCGCATGACTTGAGAGCGCACACATAAACATGCGTGCTAAACACATTCGCGCTTAAAGGATGCTTCACGCTATACCGTAACGGGTCCGAGCCGTGCGTCGGTGAAGACACGGCCAAACATTGTCAAGTGTTCTTTACACAAATATAGTACGTCTGCTGGATCTGTGTCTATGAAAGGAATGCGGACAAAAAACATTTAAATAAACACCAATATGTTTTATACGTCGACTTGACAAGTACGTCACCGCAAATCGCTCCGCCCACTCATTTTATTGGCTACTTGCAAATTTGTCGAATTTTGATTGATGGGACGCGTCGTCTAATTTTTTACGAAAAACGTAGAGAGAATATCGTTTCCCCTCTCACGGATACCCCGTAGCTACAGAACGGACAGACGTACTGTACATTCATGCCAGATGCCAGGCCGAGCACGATCCGAGCTTCGCCGGAACTCGTCCGTGCCCCGTCCCAGAAATGTCGGCGTATATTTTTTTCTCGGATCCGCTCCGTTCCCGCCACGTTGCGGAAAGCATGAATGTACTTTTACTGGTGCCCTGACTGCAATCTGCAGTCATGATATAAACAAAGTACACTTTTTATCATGTCTGTAGTAAGTATTAGTGAATCTTACAGCAGTATTTGATGACAGGGTATGCGTAAAACTGAACAATGAAAGGATGTAATGAACAAGATAGTTCCTTCATCTTTTCCTTTGGGTAGGTGTTTCCCCTGCAGGTGTTGTTCTTTATTTATCAACTGCAATTGATACCAATTCCAACTGCGAGAACTTTGGCATTGTTCGTATTAAATCTTCGTGTGTCTATGGGGCTGTGTTTTCTAATATACTCGCGGAATTAATACGAACCCCGTTATCAACTCGGTGTTGCATATACAGAAGGATCGGATGTAGCTCGGTGTCTACTTCACGGAACGTGCCCGGCTCGGGCACGGTCCGGTGTACTGTGAATCATCCTTAAGTCTTACGTACGCAGCTTAACAGTCCATTTTACTAGTGCGAAAAAGTAGCAAAATAAGCGTTCGGCATTTAACGTTTTATGTAAAACTGGCTAGGTATTTTTACAGAAATGAAGAAGGAAATTAAAGATACAGGATTATACAATATCCGTATTGTAGCACATTTTTAGACAACTTCTTTATTTTTAAGGTTTTGATGGTCAAACATCACAAAATATTCCTTATGTTTGGACTAAATTTTCTCGAAAATAAAGACATAATTTAAAATTCCGTTACAATACGGAAATAAATTGAAGTTTTGTGAAATAGATTAATTACTTCTTCTTACAGTGCCATACTCTATACAAAGCGTCGCGCGTCGGCGGCGGCGTCGCGTCGGCTACCTCTCGCATGTACTTGTGATGTGTGTCATCAGTGTTTTACAAGTACACGAGACCTACAGTTTATCGCCGAATCCGAACGGCACTATTTGAGAGGCTGTACAAGGCAAATACTCAAGGTGGTATACCATTGCCTTTCTTGAGGTGGCGCATGGTGCATGGCGGCTCGCTGGTCGCTCTATTTAGATAAATCAATATTTTTATTTTAATAAATAAAGCGATCGTACCTGGCTGAGGATCGAACCTAGTACCATCCCATCTCACACCATCCTCTCGCACCGCAGATCGACACACTACTGCTTGTGCTACGGCCGGCCACACATATAGATTGATTACAGTGATATGTATAATTTGTATGTGTTTACAGTGATATATAATTCATATGGTTTAGTAACAAATTGCTCGCTATTTTATGGCAAATGCTGAAGCTCTGCAAACCTTAATGAAGCCTTAATCAAAGCACGTGTTTGGAATTTTGGGTGTGGCTTACAGCGCTTTCAGATGGAGCGGACCGTACGCGCGGAGCGTCCGCGCGGATGTTTTTTCAATATAGCTCATCCGGACGGAGCATACGCGACCCATGTGAAATCGTTCATATAAACTCATGGTACTTGCTCGAAGTCGCGGACCGGACGGTCCGTCGCTGACGTTCCGCTCTATCTGAAAACGCCGTTAGGCAGATTTATGAAATATAATATACAGGGTGTCCCAGAAATAAGTGCAAGTATTTTAAGAGGTGGTAGATCTCGATAAAAGAAACATATTTTCTCTTTCTCGTTTTTCAAATAAGTCCAAAATAACGGAGTTATTTTACTTTGAAAATTTCCAAAAAAAAATATTTTTTGCTAAAATTTGAGATCCGCTGGATCTTTTCTGAATTTTCTTTCTTGTAAATTTATTCTACTACCTATGTTGTCATATTATTAAGAACATATGTTTTTTAACTAAAAACTACAAAAAAATTTAAAAAAATCCGAATTTTCAATTTTTTTTTGTAAAAAAAAACTCATAGGCGTGTTCCTGGGGTTGAACTATATACTACCAGTTAAAATACTTGCACTTATTTCTGGGACACCCTGTATATTTCCTTCGGTCACACACTCGCTTTAACCACAGATTAGGTATCCTATAAGTATACAGATAAAAATCTTGTCCCTAATTCGTGGTACGAAAATTGTTTTTTATGACGATGTGCAAACGAGTCAAATTTCCTGTGCGCAAAAATAAACTCGCGTAAAATAACAATAAACAGCGTAATAGAGAGATATCGCTAAACCGAATAGCGTGCATGGACGTTAATAAGGCCAGGTGTTATTTCCTTTACGTGAGGTTAACTCCCTTCATTTATAGTTATCGGATAGGAAAGAATTCTGATCGCGTCGCGTCGGCTATTTAAACTTAACCTAACTTTGAATTTAAAACTTTGAAATTGTTTTGTTTACTAGGTATTTTAAAACTAAAGGGCTAAAATGCTTATTTCCAGTGCTTTATTGTTCAACGTCTGCCAGTGGGTTTAGGGCAACAAGCAACAAATTCTCTTAGAAAGGCTAAGTCGTCATCTGCTGTAAACCTAAGACTCTTTATAGGTTCTTTAGTATTGGAAGAGGTGCAATCCATATTTTGGGCCATATTTATTCAATTAAAACTAATCCCAGCTACTTAGATATCAAATTACCTAATAAAACTAAAGCAATAATTCAAAACAATTCAAAGATAACCTAAAATAAAAGATCTCGCCGGCCGACTCCGGTTGTCAAATACCCGCACATGCCAATTTAAGCAATTTTTAAATGTTATCAAAGGTTATTTAGAAAGAGCGCTTGGTGTAATTGATCCGCAAATTACATCAGGCGGTAACGTTATTAGCGGGTGTTGCGTTAAAAATTGACTCGCGCATATCGTAACCATGATAAGGTACACGTAAATACTGGATGACGCTATTCGGTTTTCCGATATCTCTCTAAAAACTGTGCCGGTCAGGCGCTGTGCACAATTTTAGAGGCCATAAGTGGGCATGCTATGTGCGCAAACTAGTAACCATAAAGTAACTAAAATATAAGAGTGTTTGAAAGGTTGTCTAACTTGGCCATAATGTTGCATAGTTCAGTTAGGGCTCCAAAGCGTCGCCACCTGCTACCTGTCACGTGTCATTACAAGATTGACAAGTGACATGACAGCAAATTATTTGTATTTTGCAATTGTTTACAATTTTGTTTTGAATTTTGGAATTTTGTTATTATTTTGTGTAGCATAAACTTTGTTTGTTTGTTTTGTGTTTGTGCGTACAGAAATTATGGACGAAGTTTTATTTCCCGAGGAACCAGAGACCTTA